CAAACACCTAACGTTAAATAGAGAGTCTCTACAAAATGGCTCATTTTCTTCTGAGATCGGGATTTTCGTTGGAGGCACCAGTATACCAATTCCCTTTTGACTTCGGAGCTCATTTATAGAGTTGGAAAACATTTTTAAACTCTGTTTCTGGATGTAGCCGTTCCACAATGCTTAGTAGTACATTGCCTATAAATATGATGAATTTTTGTGGCAACGTTTAGTGCCTCAAAAGTGTATAGCAAAAATGAGTGTTACTGCATCACGAAATAATATGCTTTTTCTACCTTTCTAGAAGTATCTAACAAAAAACATTTTTGCAGTTGAATAGTCCATTTAAATTGCTACAAAGTGAACACTCCGAACAAAAATTCCCTTACTCTGTTGTTTGAAAATATTGTGACTCTTTGACAACATTAAAGCACTTAAGACCTATTTTTGTTACAAAGTCACGGCCACAAAAATTAGCTTGGAGTGCGAAATTGAATCAAATTTCGTAGTTTTTTCAGCATAGATAGAGTTAGTTGAGCTGCATAAAATGGTGCAAGAAGGAGTCCTCTAGCACATAAACTCTCCGAGAAAATTAAGACTTATTGTGCCAAGCCGTCAGGTGTCCATTTCTTTATGGAGGAAACATTTCTGAGTGTTCGTTTATAAGGTCAAGGAAAGAGAATTGTATGCAGACTACCTTCTCTGATAAGACCAAGTATCCAGAAGTAGGTTTTCTTTGTCAAGAAGGTTTTGGACGTTTCGAACCCAAATTATCTCTTAACCTTCAGACAACCACTCTTGTTTCCGAAAATCGGAACAATGGTTATTCTAACAAAACCTTTGCAATTTCAGCAGCCAAAATAATTTGCCGAGCGTTCAATCAAGAGACAATTTGATCGAGTCTCATAATTCCGTATTCATATCAGATCCTCTCTTCATGCTCGGGAACGTTCGAAACTGTTCCGCATGTAAAACCTTCAGGTGCGTTTGCTTATTCTTTTTCTTGTGATCAAAAACAAAAGAAAGAATTTTTTTAAAATGTAAGAGCATGAGTAGTGTATTTTTTCATCGTTATAGTCGCTTTTTTTCATTTTCCCTTTTTTCTTCTTGAAAGTATTTTCTTTTGACAAAGCAACAAAAAATGGAACAGAACATGTAAGCAACTCTATTGAAATCTGTAAGAATAAAAAAAGGAACAAAACGAAGTTACATCATAGCTCTAGAAATTGGGAAATATTTTACTGCTGATAACGAAAATTCTCGTTTTTTTATCTGCGCGAGATATCTCGCGAGATATCAGCAATTGTTCCTCTGTATGTGACACGTCTAGATGGAATGCCCAAACTTGCCCAAACATTTCTGGGCGAAGTTGTAGACTTTACAAAAACCCCAGATTTTTATCGTTTTCTCACGTTTTTCTTAGTAAAAAAGCATCCTAGCTAAAAAGTAAAGACATATTCGGAATTAGCGTGAAAAATTGCATCGAATGATATATAACTTACAACAGTTTTTTGGGAAAAAATGTAAATTTTCGTGGAAGGCTAAATTCGAGGCAGCACCGTGGTACTTGAGGCCGGTGGTTTTTATATCGTTAGAAAAGAGATCTGGAGGCCTACAAATAATTGTTTTATAGGTTTCCGAGTACGGCTGATTCAATGGACTTATTTAAAAATTTTAAACTGGTTTTGCAGAGGTTTCCTATGGACCGGATCTCTCGAAAACCCTTAAAACATGGATTTTGAACTTTGTCAGTGACTCCATTAGAAAGAGCACACTCGAAAACCTGCAAAAACATATCTGAGAGATCTTTCCAGCGCTTTAAAATCCAATGCCCACATGCCTAGGCAAAATTGCTCACTGTGCGGCCGGTGATCGTGCTACGAATGGTGGTCTCATAGAACAACAATCACAGGAATGTCTGGTTTTGGTGTCGTCCACGTGTGTAAGGACCAGAACATAAAGTACAACAAAGTGAAAGGGCATTCATGGTTAAAACAGAAACTCATACATTTCAACCTACGCTCTATTCTGTTGTCACTGTAAGTTTTTCTCTCAAGCGCCATACTTACAAGAGAACCTTTCTAGGTGTTCCTTTTCTAGGCGCTTTTCTAACGAAATGCGGTAGTTGATAGGTAATCGACCATGCTCATTCCGAATATGATAGCCGTTTTTCACCGTATGCCTTTCCTAACCAGTTTCTGGTAAAACTAGTTTTCCAGAAACCGCGAAAAATCCCCAAGTGTTTTTCTAGTCACGATTGTAACCCGCGAAATTCCGATTAAAATGAGACATCTCCCAGCTCTACACGACATTTCTTTGCAAAATTATAGAATTCACAAGAAAAGCCCTAAATTCACCTTTCCTTCTTCTTTCAGCTCTGAGGTGACAATGAACATTTAGGGCTTTTCTTGTGAATTCTATAATTTTGCAAAGAAATGTCGTGTAGAGCTGGGAGATGTCTCATTTTAATCAGACTTTCGCGGGTTACAGTCATGACTTATTTAGAAAAACTCTTGGGGATTTTTCGCGGTTTCTGGAAAACTAGTTTTACCAGAAACCGGTTAGGAAAGGCATATGGGGAAAAATGGCTATCATATTCGGAATGAGCATGGTCAATGACCTATCAACTTGGACACCTGGAAAGGTTTCCTCGTTAGTCAGACAATCGGCAAGGACACTGTTGTAGTAAAGCGGACGAAGAAAGATAGAAGCCAATTTCGTCCGGGCAGAATACAACACATACAAAAGTCTACACACTAAAACTAGACCTTTTGCCCTATCATTGTGACGCTACAGAAGCGGCAAAACAATGTTTTTTTGCCCAGAGTGTTTTTCAAAGAAGGGATAGTAAGTTTCTAATAACAATTTTTCTAACAGATTAATTTATTCTGCTGGAAGATCCAAACTTCTAATTGAATTTTTTCGATTTAAAAAAAGTATCAGTTGGATGGCGTTGTCAACAAGTTAGGTGCTCTGGTGGGGATCGAACCCACAACAGTTTGATCTTCGTTCAAACAATCTCCCGTTGATTTACAAAGCGATGTAACCGACATACAAAGGCCAACTTCGACGAAGAATACTCTTATTGAGCATAGAACATGTAGGAAATTGAGGTTGTGCAATTACTTTTCTGTTTCTTATGCGTATACTTTTTATCTTTTATACTTAAGAGCGCCTTTTTTGTCTACAGAAAGCAAAATATATTAAAATTCATTCTGCTGATATATAGTCAATTGCCAACTCGAATAATGAGAAGTCCTGCAGATGTTACTGATATTACAATCGCAGTCAAAAGCTAGTTACTATAACAAAAATAATGGTTTCCTAGAATCCATTAGAAGGTATGACGAACAACAAAACCGATCATAACCCTAGTGAAGCTTTTTTCTCAAACACATGACTTTCTTGAATTTCTTGAGTAACAATCTCATGACGTGGAGACATTTCTTACTCATGCAAAACGCATTATTTTCCGATGTCATGCGCTTGACTTTCTTGGCTACGGTGCTTGAGTTTCTTATCTCACGAAAGTCATGCGCATGAGATTCTTATCTCAAGCGGTTGAAGATCTCATGCGCTCGACTTTCTTGTGCCAAACTTTTCTCTTTCTTGTGCCAAACTTTTCTCTTTCTTGTCTTTTTGATCTGCTTTGACCAATGAAATTCGAAATTTTGATTTCGTTCTTTCAATGTGAATATATAGAAATGACTGGACATGTCTGTGTATAGAGCAGACATGTGAACGTTATATGCATTCAAGAGAATAATGCCCTTTGTCTACACAGCTATTTCTTCTCTTTTAACATACTGCAAGGATGAAGACCATTTTTACTCGCATGTTTTGCATGTTTTAACCTGCGTTTTCTTACTGATTTGTCATCAAAAAGGATAAAAAGTTCAGTAATTTGAACCTTTAACTTGGAGGCAAGTACACAGCAATTTGAGACGAAGGAAGAGAGATAGTTAAATCGTCCTGCGTCTTTTCTGTCACAAAACTGACCTATCTTTCTCATTAACAGTTATGAAAAGTCTTTCTTCTCAGATAAAGTACCGAATCTAAGGTCCTCTGCCCGTTGTGTAGGCTCAGTTAAAAATATTGACCGTGCAAGATCTTCAGATAAAAATGCACAAAAGTGAGACACACACTAAATGGTTGATGCTTATCATTACCATTGTCAGTTTCCTCGGTGTAAGATCGCTTTGCCGTTGGCGATTTCTAGGATGTAGCAGTATTAATTTGGTACTGTTTGATGCACAGAGAATTGAGGCTCAGCCATTCGCCTCATTCACAGGATGCTAGATTGGCACTAGCAACAAACTGATATTAGCGTCTAGTATTTACGAATACACTTCTCTGGAAGTACAGGCGTGAATGATTTCTTCACATACGGTAAACGTTACCTTATCGGTAAAACTCACAGGTTGTTACATAGAAATGAGAAAAAAAGCAGAGTATATGTTTGTGTCCAACAGAAATTCCAACAAAAGTAAAGATCTTTTTTACAACACTAACATACTTTGGTAATGAAACAAAGGTCATGACAGATAAACGAAAGAAGCTGCTAGAAATGACTTTTCCAACGACAGAAGTGGAATTTGGATTTAAGAAAGATTTAGCGTTAATGTTCATGAAGAATTATCAGGATATTGATGATACGAATACTAATATAGTATGCAAAATCAAATGTGATCGTCATTAAAACTTGTAAAACAATGATTGTTGAACTCCTATAATTAATCTTTTCCTTTATAAAAGTGTTATCAACAAACAATGTTGGAACACAGTCTCAGAAACGAGTAGGAGATTCTCAAAATTGCTTTTCGCTATTGCCTTTTCCTTCTAAAAACCTGGTCTCGGCAAGTTGTTTTTCTTCATCAAAAAAATGAACGAATTCAAATTATGGTGATGATAGCAATGAATCTGAATGTAGACGAATACGAATACCTCACAATAAAATGTAGAAAATTATATTTTAAAACAAAGACACTTGGAAAGCAATACATTTTGATGATTTAAATATATACTCGGACAAATGCGTCAATATCTCGTCGACATATGGGACAAGTTCTTAATGAATGACCACACGGTACACACGTTGCCAAATGTCCACAAGGTATACAAGCTAATCGTTTTTCATCTGCGAAACAAATTACGCATAGATTTGATACATCGTTCGCTTGGTCTTGTTGTTTTATTTTGCCTTGTGGCTTGGTTGTCGGTTTAGCAACAGAAGATAAGTCCATTGACGATGCGGTAGAAGTTGAAGTACACGATTCGTTAGTCAGCGCAATCACGTTAGCATCTCTTGCAGACGAAGACAAAGCAGAAAGTTGGCCATTTTGTGATTCATTGTTTTCTGTCTCTAGAAAAAACCGAGATGACAAATAAATATTTCAAATAGAAACTTTCTCATCTCAACATACCCATTGCCTTTTTTGTGGCGTGCTCTCGTACTTTTTTCATATATATACTTGGTATAATAATATTTTCTGTCTTTCCATCGATATAATCAATTTGTTTTTGGAGTATTACACATGCTAGCAGTAAATCACTGTCACTTACAAAGTCATCATCTAAATAAAACACATAGTAAGTCTCAATATTTTTTTCTTTCATATAGAAGTTACTTACGTTTCAAACGCAATTGATCTTCGTAGCAACGTTTTATTATTGATAGTTTGAACTTTTTGCTCAATAAACTTTGTGAAATCGGTAAATCTAATCTAGCCGCCACTAATTTTGATAATGTAGCCTCGTCTAATATTTTCGAAACAGTTCTATTCATCGTTGAACCATTAACGCTGTTGTTACTCTTTGAATTCCCATTTATATTAGATATAGAAAACCCTTTTAATTCCTGTTCTTTTTCTCTTGAGAATTCTAAAAAATAACAAATGAAAAATTTTGAATGAAGTGCACATATACTGATTACCTTGTGTAGCTAGTTTTGCGTCTTGAATTTTTTGATAAAGATAATCTCCACAAAGTTGTCTAGCATAGGCACAATGAGGAAACCAACGGGCATGTTCAACCATCGGATTATCAGTCTGTCCCCAATTTTGTAACGAACCGTTACAATAGAAACACGTCACTATTGTTTTTACTCCTGTATAGTAGAATCCAGATTTGACTAAATCATCCACTGATGGTAATAATTCATTCGACCATGTAGCGAATGATGCTTGTCGTTTTGGAATTTCTATGTATGATACATTACATGCCGCTGTTAATACAATTTCATCACAATGTAATGGATAACTTGTAGAGGCAGGACTAATATTATCATTCATTGAGGTCATCTGCGACGATGGGTCAATTATTTCATTCACAATTCGAATATTGTTTGATAATATGTTTTTTCCTAAAACTGACTTCACATAAGAACAATTGGGAGATAATGTTTTATGTATTTCTGCTGGATCATCCGAGTGAGCCATCCACTGTTGACATATTATATTACAATAAATACATATGACACGATCACCTACATTACAACCAAAAAATCCCGCTTCGATTATTTGTTTTTTAGATGGTACTTTATGAGGCCAATGTGAAAATGTTCGTTCACGAATTGCACGAATAGTGTCAAGTTCCGTAAAATCACGGACAGTAGTCGAAGATGGTGTAGAATCCGGTTCTGAGTGTTGCTGCATTAGCCTGGTTGCCTGGTCTGCATGTGCCGACGCCTCAGTTTGTAATTTTTGTGCTTTAATTACTGCTTCTGAATGTGATTCCATTGCATTTGACGCTTGATTTAAATCTGTAATGGATGATCCAAAGTTCTCAGGATGAATTTCTTTTCGTAAATTACATTGCGTCTCTATGATCGGCGGCGTCTCCATCTTTCTGATTATTGAATGTTGTTTATCAGACGGCTCAAACGTTGGATTGGAAGGACACTTTCGAGTGAGAACTTTAGTAGCCATTTACTTTTCAAATATCTTCAACTATATTACTGGTAAAAATGAAAGAAATGTATTCGATTATCTATAATATAAACACAAGAGATTGTAATAAATAAACTATTTAGAAAACACTTTTTTATGTAGAATGGAAATTTGACATATAGATTAAGAAACGTAAGCGAAGCCTGGAAGCAAAGATCAAAAGAAAACACCTATAGGTTTCTCTGTAGGATTGATATCCAAGATTACATCAATTCTGACGTTTCTCGGTAATTTTCGCTCTAAAAAAGTACGATCTAGATGCTATGATAAATGTTAATTTGTAACATCGAGGGTATGAAATAACTTATTTCTCGAGGAATAATATATATATTTGACACGTCAATACGTATGAGTCATTTATGGTTATGTAATTGCACAATATTTCTAGGGATTTTTTGTCATGATGCAATCAGCGTAGGTGTTCTTCTCAAACACAGTAGATTATCACGCACTGTCCATAACTACGTCAAAACAATCATCACTTTGTCGCTTTGTCTTTCCTTTCACTAACTAGACTAAAATGAAGAACTAGAGAACCAGCTATGCTTTGCGAAGATTGAAAAATCGAGTGAGTTAAGCGGCAATCAGAGACAGTAAGAATAGCAGAAATGATCGACAGATCATACTAATAGAGCACTACAGATTTCAAACGACCTTCATTTACTCCTTTTCTAATGATTCTTAGTTTGGAACGATCGATGAAACAAATTTACGTTTGATACAAGTTGTGACAATAAATTTCTTACCGTTTTCGATAAACTGTTTCAAGCAAACATATGCTCCCCGTAGAATGTTAAGTTATAATATAGCTGTTTTTATTGAAAATTTGTATTTGGGAAAAAAATCTTCTCTTAGTTTAATACATTAGCATGGCTTTTTCGAAATGAGTCATGTGTATGTAATATGTAAAGAAAAGAAACAATTTCCCTTATAAAAATAAAACCCATCGTTATATTTTCTTTCCTTTGATAATATTATAAATGGATTCCGTAGTGTTAAGAAAAAAATGGGGAGAAAAAAATCGACAACAGTCCAATGTTCGCCAAAAACCAAATAAAAAAGATTTAGATCAATTCAACTCGGAACAAAATAACTAATCTTCTTATTTCAAAAAAAGTATAAACAGCAAGTGGATGATCGAAACGTTTAACAACAAATCATTTTCTCAACTTCTGTTGAATTTCCAAAGCTTGAATTTCTGAATTCTTGAATTTAGGTTTCTTGAGAGCTTGAGTTCAGATTTTTCAGGTCGTTTAGAGTATTTGTGTTTCCTTACAGAAACTCCGATGAACTTTTATCTTAATAAAAATAAAATCGATCGATAAGCAATGTTTGAAATGAATCAGACCTCTCAGCTCTCTCGTGTGGATCGTAAATGCTTTCCTAGTCAGCCTCTTTCTAGAAGATTGGGTCTATTGTGCTAAATCTCTCTAGGGCTGTGACAATTACCAGTTACCGTTACCAGCGTTCTCCGTTACTAGAGGTAACGGTAACTGATATAAAATTAATAAGCATCGTTCCTCGTTACTGGAGGGTAAAGGATTTCTTACTGTATATCAATTACCGTTACCTCTACTAAGGAGGAACGATGCTTATTAGTTTTATGCCAATTATAGTTAACGTTAGTAACGGGGAACGGTGGTAACGGTAACTGGTAACTGTCACAGCCCTAAATCTCTCTCTATACTATTTATTTTATTTTTTGAGCAACACTTGGTTGATACGAAATAGATAAGATTTCATTAAAAGGAGAGATATTTTAATTTCGTATTTTATTAAAACAATTTAAAAATATTTAAAATAAATATATAAGACAATCAAAAGTTTCGACCTCTTTTAAATCTTCAGTGAACTTAATAAAATATGTATAAAAATATATAAAAATAAAACTATAGTTAAAATTATTACATATTACCTAGGACGTCGAAAATGGTGTAATTAATTGCCAATTAAATGCCAGTCTTATAACTATATGTAAAAAAAACGATTTTTTCTTTTCTTTTGCTATATAGTGAGAGTGTCCACGTGATGTCAGGTGCTTGTTTTATGCAAGATTTATTCAATCTTTCAAATATCCACAGATCGGCACAACACAGCCGCCAAAACATATGCTCAAAATGTTTGTATATACTCAAAATTTTGAGCTCTATCCGAATCTTAATCCTTCAGGAGGCAGAAACGTATGCTCGGGGAGATATACATGTTTTAAGGAAATCTTGAAAAAAATTAAAATCTGTTTTTTAACTTAATGATAAAGTATTAGAGTTTCGTTCAAAGTTCATTCGATAAAGCACATGAAACTCTCTATGCTCACAAAATTTTGAGCTTTCGAGTAATCTCCTTCATGATATTTTTGTTACTTTAACGAATTTTAGGAAAAACTCATTTTTTTCAGTTATTTTCAAGTAAAAAAAGATCTCGGATCATTTTCTTCGATCTGAAAATTTGCAGTGGAATAAAATTTATAACTTTAGAATGTTCTGTCTTTCTGAAGAAATTACTTTCTAGAAAAAAGAGGATGAAATCGATCATTAATCAACTGTGATAGCTTAGGGTTGTATCGAAGAACTGCTATTATACACTTTATAGTTAACTAACTTCTGACTACTGTAAAATCTCTATTAGTGAACACCGCTAATTCCAACGGGCATATTTTCATTCAATATACCGGGATGACTTGTTCATCAGAGATAGTTAATTAGCTTTTTTTGCCATTAAATTCATCGTGCTTTCTTCTATTGGGAAATATAAAAACACCTGATAGTTTACGAAGAAATTTATCAAGAATAAAGGTGAAATGCCGACGTTAAATTTTCAATAGAATTATTTAATTTCGTGGAAAAATGACGTATGAACAGTAGATTGAGTATAATCTTTATCTTCATTACAACGAAAAATTCTTTTATTGTAAGATTCGCAAGACTTTTCTAATGGGAAATTTTAAAAAAAATGACTTCTATAGGAAAGAAATGTATCAAAGAACGAAACCGTTTCTGTTCGTACGTAAGGATAATTGTTGTATATACACACGTACACGAAATATATCAGTCAAAAGACATGTTCACACCAGAAGGAGAAAGAAAAACTATATTTTTCTTTTTCAGTGAACTGTATAAAAGTGATAAGTTACAAAAACTAGATTAAGTTGAATGAAATGATAACTTCAGAATAAGCACACAGTAATTGAAAGAGAGAATTGAGAAGCGTAAATAAGATTGCCATATGTACTTATTTTAAACTTAACCTTAAACTGAGCTTGAGATGAACTGCTTCGTGTTCCCGCGAAGAAAATCGGGTAAAACACGCTGAAATTCTGCCTAGCCCAAGAAACCGTTAGGAAATATAAAATCCCATATCAACTGTGGTCATCTTTCAATACACATATGCGTCTCTTCACTCGATGGTTATTTTCCCTTTCTCTTCTTCTGTTATATGTATTCACTCTTCTGCTTTGGTATGACGTATGTTTTCTCTTTCTGTCTACTCTTTCCCATGGGTATTTTTCATTCCTATTCTTCTCTCTCTATGTCTCTCTCTCACTCTCTCTCTTGTACAATATGTGTTTTTCCCAGTTGTTTTATGTCTTTATTCATTCTCAAACAAACAAGGTCAGCGGGTTTTTCCCAGTTTTCCTAAGAGATTTTCCGGTACCTGAAATATACTATATATACTTGTGAATTTACTGAAATAAAGTGTGTGTAACAGTTACATTCTTCTTTGGCTATTAACCATTGGATGCAAGACAATTCTGAAAGGAATAACCTAACAAAACGCTACTAAGAAAGCGAATTTTCTTTCCACTCCAACACTTGTTCGTTGTGGTGAAGTTGGACTAAATAGTTTAGTAAAATAGTTTCTATTGTCATAAATCTTGGTTTATTTGCTTGGTAGAAAAAAGTCTCAAGCGTTTGTGGAAGTGAAGATTTTGCTAGTCCAATTGTCTGATGCTCTTCTGATTTCGAAAGAAATCTCCTGATTTTCCTCCAGTATTTTTAGAAAAATCTCCTGATCAACTCCTGATTTCGAAAAATTGGATCTGGGCACCCTGTTCAGTTCTCTTAAATCTTGATCTATAAGTTTGAATTATTCTTAAAGTAAAAAAAAAGACTTTTCTTATATAGCTCTGTAATGCAAGCTGTTGATTAATATTCAAATTAAGTTTCAAAATTTTTGATTCATAGAAAAATTAAATTTTAGTTTTTTTCAATTAGAATATTTTCTGTAAAAGATATTTTAACGATTATAAATGAAAAGAGAACACTTTTCATCATGACGCGTGCCATAGGGGTTGTTCGGATATTACATAATCAATTTTTGGACCGTTTTAGACACCCCCGCCCCCTTTGTAATCAAACATAATCATTTGTCTGACCCTAACCCCCCCCTAATTACGTAATCCAAATTTTTCGTGAAATGAAATGTTCCTAAAAGACGAAAACAGAAGCCGAAGAAACGATTAGTAGACTTATTGAACAATGCAGTCAGGGGTGTTTAGAGGTATCAAATATCGAGGAGGGAGAGCTTCAAAATTTTTTGAAAATTTTCGAAAATAGGGGGGGGCAAAAACGTTTTTCAGCCATGCGAGTGTTTTTTGGCAAAAACTTCTAGTCATTTAGCTGGTGAAAAAAATATTTTTCAGATATTGAGGAGGGATCATCCCTCAGCCCCCCCTCATCCCCCATAGAAACCAGCCATGAATGCACTTATGCTACTTACACTATAATTTTTTGTACTGTGAAATGATAAATATGCATTGCTGAATTTCGTGTGATTATTTCCGTTGCACGTCGAGACCTTTTTATACTTTTACTAGCGGAAGTACCCGATGTCGGTCTAGATAATTTGATAGTACGTGTTTGACGTATGAGAAGACGACGTCGCTATGGTCTTCTATG